CTCCAGCCCCCACTCCCCCGCCCCCTATTTACCAGCTCTGAGTCCAGCTGCAGCTCCCTGCTGCAATGACTGGGGACTGCCCGAATCATCGAAGCTCTCTGAATCTTTTCCGAAGATTCAGAGAACTTCGAATCGATTTGGACCTTTTAATTGGTCCTCTGATTCGATTCGGATTTGAAGATTCGGCCACTGAATTGGGCTGAATCTCCTCCAGATTGAATCAGCACCCGAAACTTTGCATAGCTCTACAAAGCATCATAAACACAAAACCCAGATTTATTACAAAGCATAAAGAAAAAACAAAACTAATCACTAAGTATAATTTTAAAACACTACAAACTACAAAAACAGTCTATAGGTGGTACCCTCCATGGGGGGTCTTCACCCATGCCCAGGCAATCTGGGACTTGGGACTCCCCAAAGGGTAATTCTGGGGGCTGGCACCCCTATACCAGCCCTTCAGCAATGGGCTGGAAAAGGGGAGGCCCACGTTGGAGAGTCCAGTGATCTGCTCCATGGGTCCATTACGCTGCAGGGAGCTGCTAGAGAGCGTAGATCTTTCTGCATTGCAAAGGACCCCTTGTTGCTCCCTGTGAAACTGTAGCACTGATCCTCACTTCTGCATGGTGGATTTGAGGGGTGAACAGCAGTTTTCATCAGCATATTGCACCCCCAAGTTTTCAGTCCTAATCCCAGCTCTGCTGGGGCAGGAAACTGCAACAGACCTCAGAGGAAAGCCAGCCAAACAGCAAAAAGGGCCTGACCAGGGACCAACACTAACCACGCTGCACTGGTCAGGACACAGAGCCACAAAAGCAACATGTGCCAGGCCCAAAACGTGCCAGGCCCTGACTTGCAGCAAACAAACGTACAGCGGGGCTCCTGCACCCAGGCCTGAACATACAACAAAAAGGTGCCAGGCCTACTTGGCTGAGGCTATCTCCCGGTCAGTCTCCGTTAGAGAATGATACTCTCATGGCATCATCCCACTCAAGGCCTGCGCGGCCAGTAGCTGCCAGGACCCTGTTCCTGGGCAGCCTGCACTAGGGGAGGACACACTCATGGCATCTTCCCACTCAAGGCCTGCATGGCCAAAACATCCAGCAAGACACATAGCTGGGGTTCAGTGACACAGCTATGCTGAACCCAAAAGAAGTTGCAACAGCAACTAAAACATGCCGGGCTCTCAGCCCTGGCCCAGAGCACGCCAGCAAAACTGCAAGGCTTCAACCTTGGCCAGTTTGTTGCAGGGATTGATGCCCCCCACATGGCATCATCCTACTCAAGAACCCAGAAAACAAAAGGGGAAAGGAACAGGTGAGAACAGAGGTCTCAAGCCCTGACACAGACTTTCTCTCCCTGTACTGCAGGCTTTCGCTTCACATAGCTTCAGACTGCCTCATCAGTCAAGAGTGGGGGATGACACCCCATAGGAAGCAGGCCCTTCTGGCTCCCAAATCAGCATTCAGGCTTCAGCAGCCCCAAGAGGAAGAAGAAGAGTGGGTCAAACCAGGTGGCCTCAACCTTAAATGATTTTTCTAACCTCATCCAGGACCCCAGCCAAACAGCAGCCTCATTGCAGCACTGCAAATGCAGATGAATCAAATCAAAAGAGGGGCAGCACTCCAGGATCGGGCCCGAGTCACTAGACTGGTTTTACAGGTTCTGCTGAGGAATCTTAAGACAAGGGGTCTGGACACAATAAGGGTGGTGGGAGGTGGGTCTCTCCGGTCCTAGAAGAAACAAAATATACAGCACAAATGAGATGCACAGCAAAATAAAACCAGAACACATTTGACCACACACTGCCCCAAGGGCGTTACAGGAAGGTAGATAGAAAACTGGCTGGAATGTCAGATTCAAAGAGTATTAATCAATGGATCAAGGTCTAGTTGGCAGCCGGTATGAAGTGGAGTGCCCCAGGGATCTGTCCTGTGGCCAGGTTTGTTCAATATCTTCATCAACGACCTGGAAGATGGGATGGAGCGCACCCTCAGCAAGTTTGCAGATAACACCAAGCTGGAGGGAATAGTAGATACGCTGGAGGGTAGGGCTAGGATTCAGAGTGACCTAGACCAATTGGAGGATTGGGCCAAAAGGAATCTCATGAGGTTCAACAGGGACAAGTACAAAGTCCTGTAAAATCCCACCGCTTCAATTTACGGAGAATTAAACTGAAGTAAACCCCCGTGGCATGTACAAGCAGCCCAGATGGCTGCCTGACCAGCAGATCACCCACAAATAATACAGGATACACTAATTCAGGCAGGGAACTCCAGTCCACTGCTGCCCTTAGCAGCCATGCTGTCAGCACCTTTTGGGGCCAAGGGGAAGAGTTTAAAGGCATGTATGGCAGATGGGTTGTTAACTCCCCAGAAAAGCCAACAGCTATTATAATCTTAATTGTTAGTTGTGTCCCTAGAAATCTCCCTTCTGTTTTCTAGCTTTCCAGTACCTGAATGCACGGGGCCTACCAATTCTTTCCCATGTGCTTGCACCCGCTGAGCTCCAGGCAGGGGCAGATTCAGGGGGTATGCAGTGTACTGGTATACTTACATCCCACTTTGATTCCCAGTCCACCCAAAATTTAAAACCTACTGCCTGCCAGTGGCAGCAGCATTTCTAGTCAGGCAGCGCTAAAGGAGTCAATTGACTTCATGGCTCATTATAATCTACCTGATCCCTTCTAAACACTTTATTGCATGGGTATTAATGACCTTCTCTTCTTTTTAATGGTTTTGATGTTCCACCAAATAACTATCCTTTGTTTTGCAATTCTCCTGTCTCCCGGAAATGAAACTCGTAGTTCATAGCCCTGCAGGTTGTTTTTAACTCATTCTAATGAAGTTGTATTCATTTTTTGCTTCAATCTTAAACTGAATCATACAGCCTTGGGCTCCTAGCATAAAGCTTCTAGTTCATTATGGAGACAAATATGTGTTGTTTATATGTGATGATGATGATGCACCTCGCCGTCTGCACCCCCATTTTCAAAATCCTGGATTCACCCATGGCTCCAAGGGTATGTTGCTATGGGCGCTCAAAGCTCTTAGAGAGGCCTGTGGGATGTTCTCCCTGTATCTCTGTGTCTGCCCTCTCTCCTGGTCCCAGAAAATTCCCTGGAGATGTCATTTTAAAGGCCATCCTTGCCCTGTCTGGTTTTGAGGCCCCACGGTATGGCTCAGTGAGTTGATCCCTGCTTTGTGCTGAGCTGGACACCCGTTGCTATAATCTCATGTTTTTGTCCCTTAATCTGTATTTGTTCCCTGGGAAGTGCTGAGGGATACATTAGGGCAGAGGTGCTAGGTAAATACCATGTAGTCTTCTCCCACATGCGCACACACCACTCCAGCCCCTGAGCCAAGGTAAACAGAGAAGACTGAGCTCTCTAGCTGTCAGCAAGTCCTCTCTTTGGTCTTCCCACTTGTGTGGGCTAAAGGGGGTGGGAACAGGTGAGGGCTGTTTCTCTTTTAACTTTAGGCAGATGGTCATGGAAATAAAATCCAGCATACTCAGTGCCACCCATCCACCCAGCTCCAGCAACACCGGCTAACGTGCTGCTCGATTCCTGTGTAAAGAGCGTGGACGCCTGGCTGAGGGCTCAAGCAGGGGCGGGATTACAGGAGCAAGCCCTATAAATAGGAGTCACCGTGAGACAGCAAGCCGCACGTCTAGCAGGAGGGAGCCCAGCAGAGACAGAGCCGAGGAGGGAGAAGGCGGAGTGAGCTCTGTGTTCACGAGAGGGCGTGGTGGTTACGTATTATGCTGATGGGGACTGTGGTGTACACATTATGGTAACACAGCATCTGTGGACTCAGATATTACACTGATAAGTGGCCGCGCAGGTATCCAGGCAGGCTGATAGGGGCCTACAGGCAGGTGGCTGTTTCTGCAACAGATGCTGGGCATGATGGCTGGCGCCCAGGCGGGGTTGCCCAGTCCATTCCTGGAGCCACAGGTTGTGCCAGGCCCAGACTCAGACTCTGACTCAGACTCGGAGGATCCAGGCTCTGGCAGCGGCAGGTCAGGCTCTGGCTTTCTGAATCCATCTCAGGTCATCCACAGCGGCCACTTCATGGTGTCCTCTCCGCACAGTGACTCAATGCCCCGACGGCGCCACCACCGGGCCGAGTCAGAGGCTGCTGATCCCCGGAGCATCGACCCCACCCTTACCCGGCTCTTTGAGTGCATGAGCCTGGCATACAGGTGAGTCTGAGAACCACTTTGCCCAGGACTCCTTTTGCTTAGATCCCTGCCTCCCCATCACCTGGATCTTAGAGGATGTAAGTTTGGCATATGAGGTAGAATAAACGAATTCCCCTCCCCTCCCCTCCTCCCCCAGGTCTGGTTCTCCTTCCACAGGAATTCATGCACAAGTTGCAATGGGAACATTTCCTCTTCTTTTTGCCCTACTGGACTAGGGTGCTACCTCCTCTGGGAGGGACAATGCTAGGAGTTCCCACAGCAGCAAGGATGGGACTGGGGGAGTCTGCCCAGGAGAAGATTAGGGCCTCTCCCATATATAGTCTGAATTCTTCAGCCTTCCAACAGGACACGGAGCAGCTATGCCCATGTTTAGTACCATCCAGAGAAAGCTGTCAGAGCACTTTACAAAACCTCCCTCTGTGCAGCACTGTAAGGGAAGTGCTATCCTCTGCATAGCTATGATTACTGACTTAGCCAGAGTCATGGTAAGTCTGTGGCTGCCAGAAAATGATCCTAGGAGTCTTGGCTCCTAGTCCTCAGTTCTAATCCTAGAAAACACTTTCCAAATTCCCCCAAGGTGTCTTTTCCATGGCCAAGCTGGCTGCTCAGAAGCTCATGTGATAGAAGTCTCCATGGCCTTCAAGCTGGACTAAGCTTGTTGCAGTTCATCTCCTGATTGGGACAACTGAGTCAGTGCTCTGCACTGCACACTGATTTTCCCAGCCTAGATCCTGCCTACATCCAGGTTTCCCCCTTCCAACTCTCTGCAGTGAATTTGGGCTTGGTTGTTTCAGCAGTTGTCACTCTCAGCACTTCAATGAGAATGCCTCAGTCGACCAGGGTGTCCCACTGGATAGCATCTGGGAAACTCTTCCTTGGAGACCCTCAGATGTCAAACTCCCTCGTACAGTGGGAAAGGATGGTTCCCAAAGTTAGAAATGGGTGCAGGATCAACATCTTTGAATAGTCTACAGAATTGTCTAATGAGCAACTTCCCCCCTGATAACTGGAAGGACATGCTACCTGGTGACCTAGTGATGTCCCATAACAACACAGCCTATGTAAAAGAAAGAAAAAGAAAATGTCCCTCTCCTAGGTACCAGGAATCATTATATTTGGTGTTCAGACTTTACTGGGGGGTGCCCTGAAATTAAGTTGGCTGTGTACATTTGGCCTGTCAGTGTGTATCTGCGTCCAGAAGTGTACGCATTTGCCTCCCATTGCTGCACCAGTGAGGCACAGCTTCACAAAAGCCTTGCTTTGCTGCTCAGCAACAACTAATCCTGTGGGGGAATCCATCACACTTCAGAAGGATGTCTTCTTTTCAAGTCCTGCCACTACCACAATTACAGATTTTTCAGCATTGGGAACATAACATGGGATCGTGCCCTGGCAACGTTTTCCATGGTGCCTGGTTCCAGTTCTTTGATTGTAGTGGTCAATCATGTTCAACAGGATTTGCAGAGTAAGAATCTGACAGGGCAGTGACATGAATGCTACCATTATGGATCCCACCTCTGAAGGCAGGCAAGGTACTAAGCAACAGGGCTGGGGTGTTGAGGCTGAGTCTGTCATGTGAGTGGTATCGACATGCTAACTGCCTGGGTGAAGGTAGCTCTTCTGCTCACTACCTCACTCCCATTTTTCTGCCCTCAAACTTAGATCTTGCTCCTTGGGCCAGGAGACAGTAGTTCGGTAGGGTCTGTGTGCTTAGCTTTAGCAGTGGAGGACCTCATGCTACACTGTAGTTCTCTGTAATTCTCTGTTCTCCTACTGTCTCACCTGGAGGCAGCTTGCTCAGCCCTTGGGGCAGGAAGCACTAGATGTTCCTCTTGGGATATTTGCATGGATGCTTGGGGGAGGAGTGGGGGGAGCAGCAGCAGGCTCTTGATTGAGCTCCGTTCACTTCCCCTTGGCAGCTGTCACCTAGGGCAGCGGTTTCCGATCTGTAGTATGGGTACCATGAGTGGTACGCAGACAACCTGTCAGTGGTACGCATTAAAAATGTTATCATAATTACTTTATATGACAAAAATTTGCTGGTGATACTTAAGGTTGAACTAAAAAATTTGCTGGTGGTACTTAAGTTGTATTGTTTTAAATTGGTGGTGTGCAATCTGTCAGAGTTTGGGAACCGCTGACCTAGGCTTGCCATGATATGGACAATGCTGGAAGGCCCCCAGGGGATACTCAGGATGGGAATCTCTCTGATGCAAGAAATTCCCCAGACCTCTTGCCCACTTTTGTTTCTCTTCCAGATGCTTCCCAGTCCGCCATGCCCTTCTCCTTTAGGTGATGTCTCATGGAACACAGTGAGATCGGTAGTGTCCATGGAACAGAGCGGGGAGGGTCGGGGGGGCTGGCAGGGTCCCCCCATGGTCCCCTCCCCCAGGTCCTCCTCCCACGCCCCTAGTACTTACCAGCTGGGAGTTGGCTGCAGCTCCCTGCTGCAGCCACCGGGGACTGCCCGAATCATCAAAGCTCTCCGAATCTTTTCTGAAGATTCGGAGAGCTTTGAATCAATTCGGACCTTTTAACTGGTCCCCTGATTCGATTCAGATTCGGAGATCAGGCCGAATCTCCTCCGAATCAAATCACCACCCGAAGCTTCACGCAGCGCTAATAGGTCTATTACACTCAGTGTCTGCTGGACAGGACTCTTTCATTAGTCTTCATCTAGAAACCTTAATTAACACAACTCTGTGATCATCTTGAGTGACTGGGGTCACCAGCCCTTATAGGGGACCAAGTGCAAGAATTATCCAGACCGAGTCATTATTGCCTTCCATCTTGTGCAGTCTCTGGTACAAGTAGATGCACAGTTCCCATTCTGTCCCAGTTGCATTTTACACTTTTTTTGCACTGGTGTAAATGACTACAAAGGGAGCAGGGTAATGAGAAGTGAGCTTTTCATGCCTAACCATTTCTGTGGGGAGTTTCCTAGCATGATTTTATACCCTTACTCCCTTAATTCATTACCATAACAACACATATTGCTCCAAATACATGAGTGTGTCACCCTTTGTACTTAAAGAGTCTGCCAGAGAGTGCTGCTTGATGACTTCCAGGAAAACAGACACAGTAAACAGTGCAGAGCTGGTTGACTCACTGTTTTGATTAAAAAAATGTTGATCAAAAATGTTCTTTTAAGCAATATAAATATTTGCCCTGAAGACCTTCATTGCAGTAGAAACTTCCTGACTTTTTTTTCCCTGATTAAAAACAGGAGCAAGAATTTTCAGGGGAAAACTGGTTATCTTTTTAACGTTCTATTTCCATTTTTGGATAAAAACCATATTTTGACTTCAGAGACACACTTTTTCTTTCATTTGTTGCTAAAAATATTCCATGCACAATTAACAGCTTATTTCCCTACCCACCCCTGCCCAATTTTCTATGAAAAATAGTCATTTTTCAACTAGCCTGTAAAGAAAGGTTTACACAGGATGTTTATACCACTGCTAGGAAGAGAGGAAATCTCGCTGACCTGTGTAAGTACTTATATGGCTTATTACGGTAATTTCTGAGTGCTTTACAGTCTTGATTGCATTTAACCTCACAATCTCCAGCTCTGAGATAGGGAAGTGCTGTTATCTCCACTTTGTAGATGAAGGCAGAGAGCCCTGGTAGCTTGTCCCAGGGAACACAGGAAGTCATAGAATCATGGCATCATAGAAAAGTAGGACTGGAAGGGACCTGCAGAGGTCATCTAGTTCAAGCCCCTGCCTATCTGAACCATCCCAAGAACAAAGACAAATCCCAGTCTAACTGATTACTGAAGCTATATCGTTAGCCCAGTCACACAACCACAAGACATAGCACTCTAACCTGCCACAGGAGGACAACAGTGGTCAGTGTCCTGCTGCTCTGAGGGTTGATAAAATATTCTCGAGAGATCCAAGGAACAAGGCCATGCCTCCCTAATACAGAGGGAGGCAACCCCGCACCTACGACTGTGTCCCCATGTACAGGCACATGCGATTTGTGGCGCCTCAAACCTCTTTGTGGTATGACAAACCACATCTGTGGAACATTAAAACATGCCCCGTGCTGCAAATTTGCAGCGTGGGGCAAAATTTGCTACCAGGATTTCTCAATAGCAAACCCCTCCCACCCCGCCAGAAAAAAACAGTGCGGCGCACACAAAAATTGCATGAGTTGGAACAAATGGAGGGCTTGGTCCTCCGGTGAGATGCTCTAGCTGCTGGCCAGAGTGTCTCTACTGCTCCATTTGTGCCCCAGCTGCTCCAGCACTGGGAGCTGGGAGGATCTGGGCAAGGGCAGTTTGCCCAAAGTGGGACAATGTGTCACACAACAAAGTGCTTGTGCACGGGTGTGTACTGCAGCACAAAATAGTGGCACAAATTTGTGTTGCTACTATTTGTGCTGCTGCAAGCACATGCTCCTGCTCATCTGGACATGGTCATCTCAACCCAGGCCATACCAATCTGATCATGGGATAAAGTCAGCAGTGGAGTAGAGAACTAAACATTGGTCTTTTGAGTCCCAGGTTTGTGGTATAACCCCTGGACCATGCTTTCTCCCTCTGCGAGCTACCCAAGTTTGAGTTTTATGAAAACTGAAGAGGAAGAGTGCACAGTATTCAAGGCACAAGATAACTAGGGTTTGAGCAAGTGTTTCAGCCGTCTAAACAGAACTAAAGGGCTGGAGTTTTATTCTGCTCTGGAGGGAAATGCAGCTAACAAGATGTGTAGGGATGAATTGAAGATAATCCAGCCTAAGGTTCGGGGAAGCTGGTGTTATTAATGGCAATGCAGGATGTGAGAAGTGGAGAGGAGTTTAGGAGGAAAATTGCAAAGCATGATTGTAGCCATGTTTGTCTAGAGGTGGAGACAAGGACCCCGACAGGCATGCAGAAATGGATGCGAGAACTACCAGTGTGGAAGAGAGGATGAACATTAACATTTTACTGACATCATAATGGGGGATTTCAGTATTAGAAATGCACTAAGTCAGGAGTTTCTAAACTGTGATACGCA